TTATGGTAAAAGTAGATATGGAAAGAAAGGGAGAGATTCTGGAAATACTGTTTAAATGGACATGTCAGGGACCATCTGGAGTAAGGGTCAGATTCCAATTGGGAGTCCTTATCTCAGAGGTGATGGCAGAAGCTCTGGCTGTGGCAACGCCAATTGGGAACAATGTAGAGAAAGAAAGCCAGAGGAGGCAATGGAAACATGTAAAAAAAACTTATATTTAAAAATTTTTTTAGTTGTGAATGGACCTTTATTTTTATTTATTTGTATGTGGTACTGAGAATTGAACCCAGTGCCTCACACATGCTAGGCAAGTGCTCTACCATTGAGCCACATCCCCAGCCCCCAAAAAACTTATATTTAAGGGTAAGTAAAAGTTCAGATTTATAAGAAATTGTGCTTCAAACCTTTTATTGAAAAGATGACTAAAACTGTGTTCTTGGGATTAAGTAGTTTGTTCAAGTGAATGCCTGTGGGAGAGCCCTCTAGAATCCAGGTGGCCTGACTTATGGCTTAGCACACTTCTCTATTATCTTATACTCTAAATGAGATTGATGCTAAATGTGAAAATCTTATCTACCTCCTTTGATATCCTGATTGATCTTGATAAAACAAACTAAATTTTAATACTCATCCCTTTTACATAAATTAAAGTATCCTCTCTTGTAGCTCCGATAGCAAAGAGAAAATTTTGTCATTGGGAATTAGGTGAAAAAGCCATCTATATGGATGCCATTTAAAATTAAAATATGTGACATGAATTGGTAGAAGGAATTATAAAAAAAAGAAAGAAAAGGAAAGAAAAGTCAAGAAAACAAAACAAAAAAACAACAAAAATACTCTATTGCATTTTCAACACTGAATTACCCTTATTATCTCCCAGGCAACTTGCTATATACAAAACTGGGAAATATTTTGTTCAAATAAGCCAAACCAAATGATTTCTTTGCAGTTCTACACAAGATTTTTTTTTTAATAGGTGAAGGGGGCTACTAGGGAGTGAACCCAGAGGCACTTTATTATCTAGTCATATCCCCAGCCCTTTTTATTTTTTATTTTGGGACAAGGTCTCACTAAGTTGCTTAAGTCCTCACTAAGTTGCTGAGGCTGGTCTTGAACTTGTGATCCTCTTTCCTCAGTTTCCCAAATTGCTGGTATTACAGGTATGCACCATCATCCCTGGGTTATACAGATTTGTTGCTATTAATGCTGTAGTCTTCTCTGAATGTGTCAAAGATGCAAGTTGAAAATGTTTTTAACTCTTATCAAGTAAAATATTTGTACCTCAAAGAGGGAAGCCTGAAAACAGCAAACATAAACTTTAAAATAGAGACCATCTTAAAAAATAAGTATATGCTAGAGCCAGTCTTTAGGGTGGCATCATCTGTGCTAAATAAGAGAACTAAGTAATATGTGGATTTTATTATTTACTTCATTGGAAGAACTGAGCTTTGAAAATGAAGCATCACAAGCCATTATTAGTGAACTGTTTACAACTAAATGAGCAAAGTACTGTAAATATTAAAAATTGATGGTCCATGCCTAGAAAATTGAGCATTTTCATTCTTAGGAAATGGAATTTGACCATTTGAATGTGGCACAGCAAATGATCCTATTAGCATTTTCATCCATGGATTCTTGGCCTACCCAAAGAGATCTGAAGCACAACTTTAAGTGGACTATTTTCTAGCACAGAGGTTCAAGAAAAATAATTGGGTTCTTTTGGTTTTCTTTTGACCTTTTTTTTTTTGCTTATTTTACTTATTAAAGTATAATATACATACAGAAAAGTGTTTACCAAATGTATAACTCAATGAAGTTTCACAAATTGAAATATATTCACCCATATATCCAGCATCTCAATCAAGACACAGAACATTACCAGCCCTTTAGAACCCACTATCCCCATATATTACCTTCCAGTCAATAGTTACTTACACCCCAAAGTAAACATTGGGAGACAGGTCTCCATGTGTCTCCCATGTTTTTGCCAATCTTGTAAACAGAGGCACTGACTGACAGTGTTCAGAATATCTTTTCAAAGATATCTGTGAACAGCTTAGAAGATATGTCTCCCTCAGAGCAAAAAGCAGCCTTGTTTACAAGTTCAAAAAGTAGATTGTCTCTCTTACAAAAGAAAAAGGGACAGGTTTATTTACTATTCAGAATAATAAAGATAATGTCTCTCTTCAAAACATTCAAGTTCCCTAAACTCAGGATTCCTTTCCTGTAATATAATTCTGTATGTGTGCCAGTGTCACTTGGCTTTCTTTGTGTTCCCTCATGAGAATTAGAGCTTAGGATGTTGGTGTAAATACTGACACAATACTAAGTTAAGAGGTGTTTTCATCTGATCTAGCATCCATTAACTAAGAAGCTTAACCTGTAGGCCTACATGTAGGGTAGTTTGAGACCCTTGATTGTTCTTGGTAGTAGTCACTATTCTGACTTCTACTACCATGTTGGTTTTACCCGTTTCTAAACTTCATATATAAATGGAATTATGTAGCATGTACTTTCATGTTTATCTTCTGAGATCCAACATCATATTTGTGAGATTTATTAATATTATTTCATTTAAGCATGATTATTTCTCATATCCTTCCATTGTGTGAATATTTAAAAACTTATTTTGCTAGCATGCACAAAGCCCTGAGTTTGGTCCTCTATCCTGAAAAAAAAAAAGCAAGGAAAAAACTTTTTTCTACTATTTATGAACATTGGGGCAGTTCCCAGTGTCTGGTATTACAATTGTGCTAATTCTGTTAATAAAAACTTTTATCCATGTCTTTGGGTGAATATATGTATTCATTTCTGTTGAGTATTTTCCCAGAGCTAGATTAGAGGGTGTGTGTAGATATTGCCAAACAATTTTCTAAAGTATTTGCACCAGACTACTCTCTCCCTAACAGAAAATGAGTCTTCTGGCTTCTCTGTGTACTTTGTATCCCAGCTTATTTTCTATCCTTTTTTTTTTTCTTAAGAGTAGAATGTTTTTATTTTATTATCATGCATATAAAGAAAGGCAAATGTGGCAATATTACAAGCATTTATGCTGTTTAGGAAAGAGACACATCAATTACTGTGCTGTTATCAGGACAAATAATCAAATAAGACACTCAATTAGAGCCACAAACTTTTTGTAGGTTATTTTTCCACAAAAACAACAATTTCCAGTTTTATGGTTCTGACAAGACCAAGTTATTCAAATTAAATTTTGGGGGGATACAGTTTCAACAGAAACCAAAACAAGATGAAAATTGTTATGAATATTCACATAATTCCTTATATTGTACAGAAAAGATATTCTTCCAACTATTCCCAATTACAAGCAAAATAAATTGGTATAGCTCAACCTTCCCAATCAGCAGAATAGAGAAACAGGAATTTACTAAGCATAGTAAAATTAAGGGGCATAGTATTAATCTTCCACATAATTTAAGGCCACAGGAAAACACCCAAAGACAATTGTGTTTCTTCAGAGAATGCCTCTCTTGCTAACATATTTAACACTCCAATCACCTTCAGTTTTTCTATCCCAATCCTGAGAGAAATATTTCTCCTCCCATTACCACTAACGGAGTAAATACCTCTTCCTCACAGGCTCTCATTCAAACTAGTCTTATTTTTAGTCCCAGTTTTCCCCTGGCTAATTAATTTCTGCTTTACCTCTGACCTTTTTGTTCAGTTTTCTCTGCTTAGAACACCCACTAGTCTCTTTATAAAGCCTTACAAACCTCTCTGAACTTGAAATCACCTTTCATTCTCTCTAGATCTGTATCTTTTTAACCTTCTAAGCATTACTGAATCTGGGAAGAAAGCAGAGTAGGCAATAGGGCCTCTGGCAGTCGATTTTACAGCACAACCTCTCTGCCTCTGGAAATGATAGAGCTAAGTTACACTATAAAGCCTACTTTTGCCTATGTTTTTGAACCACCAGTTTTTCAAAAAAGAGACATGAGAAAAAGAGGTTAAAGATAAGTGTGTATGTACCCTGGCACATCTGGCACCTAATCATTTTCAGACTAAGGAAGGGGGACAAATAAAGATAACCTAAATTTGTATGAATTCACTGGTTGGAGCTGAGAAAATCTGGAACTTGACCAGGACACCATTAACTGCTTTTCACATGAAAATAGGGTTCTAAATTGTCACCCCAGCCACTTATCTAACAGTAAGGTTTCTGGATGATGAAGGTGGTTGGTGGTAGTGGTAAAGAATTGGAGAGATCTTTTGGAAAAGGAATGGAAAAGTCTTTTGTATTCTGGCAGAAAATCTTGGCCCATCACCAGTTCTAGAAATTCTTGTTTACCAGAAACCAGAAAGTGGAGCTGAGAACAATCTGGAATTTATTTATTCAGTAGCCCAAAGGGGTAAGGATAGCCAGCAGCAGGCAGCAATAGGTGATCAGAGAAACAGGAAGAACAGTGAAGTCACATAAATCACACAGACCACTGTTTTTCTCACTGGACTTAATGCCCAGTAATTGTCCACAGGCCATGAGACTATGCTGCCAAATCCAGAGAAGAGTGCATAGAGTAGGCTCCTACACATAGCTAGAAATCCAGATGGTAATATAGAGAGCAGAAACCCTGCAAACAAGTAGAGTCCAAACAGTGCAATCTGTAGCATCATCTGCTTGGTTAAAAAAGGTGTGAACCATATATGGCCAGGCATCATGTGATGTTAATGCAAAATAGCATGAAGAACATGTGCGAATTCAGCAGCACAGCTAAGAAGTTGTCAATCTTGAGGCTGAGAGAAAATAAAGTTTTCTGTGGCTGTGGCTCAGTGGTAGAACCCTTGCCTAAAACAACTAAACAAACAAAATGAAGGTATTGTGTCCATCTACAACTAAAAAACATTTAAAAAATGGTATAGAAAGGTCAGCATACACATACACACGTACACAAAAGTAAAAGGCACATCAATAATCATAGGTCCAGCAGGAGGTGGTGGTACAGGATCTTGTGGGGAGTAATCCCAAGTGCAAAGGTTCCAGATTAGAACCCAAAGGACCTGGGTATCTCTACTGGCTTCCTTGTCTGGTGACTTCTGATTCCTTGTCTGGTGACTTCTGATTCTCTATGTAACAGGTAGTATTCTAGGGAATCTGGCCAGAAGTTCTCTTTGATCATCTCAGAAGTTCTGTCGCACTCTGGATGACTGTGGTCTGAAAACTAGGTGAAGAAGTTGATGAGGACATCTGGGTTCCCAACCTATGGTTCATGGCCCTTGAGCCATATGATCAGAGCAGAATGAGATACACTTGGCCAGAGGATTCGACCTCATACTCTTTGATAATCAGCTTGTTTCTGAAGAAGGGATTTCTTTGAAAGAACTTGAACTTGCAATTTGTCCTATGGTATCTGAGCTCCTTCACCTCCAGATTGGTTATATAGGTTAACATCTCTTCATCTTGGGTCCTAATCACTGGGTACAGCTGCGGCGGTTCTGAAGAGTGGTGATCCAGAAGCCAGGGATGTTCTGAATGATGTAGTTCCTCAGTTCCAGGTCTTACTGACGCATCCACCCAAGCTTGAGCTCCAGCTGGAGGAAAGCTTAGTTAGCTTGAGCATTGGCAGTGTCCAGTTCCAGCCAGATGGCCTCCAGAGGGTTCATATTGGGCTCCACATTCAGGAGACGGGACCCTGCCTCCTCTTTCACCTCTTTTATTCCTCCATTTTCCTCCTGCATTTGCATTTCTTGACTTGCTATTTTCTCAATCTGCTTCTCATACCCTGTTACTAAGACAGCACACTTTTTAGTCTTCATGTCTTTGGACCTGGCCATCATTTCAGAGGCTGCCCTCTCTGTGCCATAAGTTTCTAGGGCCTTCTTCCCACTTAGGCTAAGTGTCTCTTGACCATGAAAGTTAGGCTTCCATCAGTTGCAACAGAGGTAGAGGCTGTTTCCAGGCTCTCGGTGGGTGACCATGCCACTTCCTGCCCCACTGTGGTGACTCCATGACCATGACCCCCATAGATTAGGATCTAAGGAGTATTGCCACTGCCTGCAGTGTCCCAGACGTGCCCCCCGACCTCCCGTTTGGAAGTCCCAGCGGTGTGAATATGTTGGGACTCCAATCTGCTGTCACCCATCTCCGCCACTACTAGGTGTCTCGCTGTCCTCATAGGGTCCCTGACACTGATGTGGGTGAAGCCCACATCGGGAGTGGCGCAGCTGTGGACTTGGAGGAGTGGGGTCTTCTTGATCCCATCCAGGGTGCTCATGTTGATAGCAGCCAGACCCCAGGCCAGTAAGGGTTCCTTCCAGATGAAGCATTCCTGAAACCCACCGACCCACTGACAGTTGCACGGCCCACCGCTCAGACTCAGGACATCCACTCCATAGTCTTGCAACTCTGTCTCTTAAGTCTCACGAGAGTCACCTCCAGGACTATCTGTGTTTATTTTAGCCTTTCTATGGGTAATGGTGTCATTTGGTTTTAATTTGCATTTACCTGATGTTCGTTGAATTGAGAACTTTTCTTATGTTTTCTGGTTGGTTGGATAACTTCTTTTGGGTAATGCCTGTGTCTTTTCCCCATTTTTCTATTGGATATTCTGTTGCACATTATTCGTAAGAATCCTTTGTATAGGTTTGATCGGCCCTTTTCAGCCACGTGTTTTGCAGATATCTTCCATTCTGTGGGTTGCTTTTTCACTATCTTAATGGTACTTTTTGAAGAGTAAACATTTTTAATCCTAATATGTTCCAATTTATCATTTTCCTCTTTAAGTTAGTACTTTCTTTGCCCTATTTAAGAATTCTAACTTCTCCAAGATCTTTCACATGTCTGCCATCCATCTGGAACTGATCTTTGTAAATGGTGTGATAAGGGTCATAATTTTCCCCCATAGAAATATGTAATTGACTTAGCGTTGTTTATTGAAAAGACAATGCTTTACATATGCATAGGTTTTTAAATCTGTCCATCAGATGTGGTATATATCATTAGCCAGAATCAGCGATATGCCTTTGCCTAACTCCAAGGTGGGGTGGCGGGCAGGGATGGTAATAATTCTCCCCTGAGCCTGTAAAAAGAAGGAAACTGGGAATTTTGGTGAGCATTGTAAAAGACCAACAGAGTTTGGCTAAAGAGAGAAAAGGTAATGGTAATTGGAGAAATTTATGAAACAATCAAAGACTGATAATAGAAGGAACAAGAGAAAACAAGCAAATTTTGGAATGAAAACTACAGTCACAGTAGTGCTTTAAAGAAATTTAAGAAAGCATGCCATTCTGTTTTCAAACTTACATGAAATACATGACTTCATAGACATTTATAACTCATGAACACTGACTGAAGTGCAATAGAAAAACTGAATAGACCTAGAGACTGTAAATAAATTGAATCAGAAGTGTGGGGGAAAAGTCTACAGAAATAGCATGAGGTTAAAATGATTTTGAGAAATATTACCAACCCTTCAAGGAATACATAAAGTCTTTTTAAGTTTTAAACTGCTCTACCAATATTTATTGTATATCTACTGTGTGCCTGGCACTCCTAGCCCCTTCATATATGTCAATGAACAGAACAAAGAATTTTTCCCTTTTAAGAGTTTATATTTTAGCAGGGGAGAAATATAATAAACAAAAATAGCAGGTAAGCAATATGACATGTTAGAAAGTTTAAATATTATGGGAAAAAACAATAGAATAAGAGAAATGAGAGTTCTTAGAATAGGGAGTGAAGAGCAGATTGTAGTATTTAATTAGGTGGTCAGAGGAAGTCTCATTAAAAAGATGAGATTTTAGCAGAAATCCAAGAAGTTGAGGAAGTGAGCTAAGGGGAAGTCTGGAGAAAAGCATTCAGGAAGAAAGAAGAGCTAAGCAGAGGCCCTAAGATAGGAACATGCCTGGGGTGTTCCAGGAACAAGGCAGCCACTGTGCTGGGGTGAGTAAATGATGAAGGCTAACATCAAGGAGGAGGTTGGATACTGTTGCAAGAAATTTGAGTTTTATTCTTAGTGAAATGGTAAACCACTGCAGGACTTTGAGCAGAGAACTCAAAACCTGACTTATGTTTTGCATGGATCACTCTCATTCCTGAGTGAAAATTAGTGTGGAAGCAGAGGTAGATTTAAGGACATCTGTGAGAAGGCTATTGTAGTAATACAGGTAAAAGATGTTCCTCAGACTGGGTGATGGCAATGGAGGTGAATGGTCTGTATAGTATGATGGTACAGCCAGAATGGTTTCATGATGAATTGAATTGGGGTCTACGAGAAGGAGAGAAATCAAAGATGATTCTCAAGATTTTCGACCTGAGCAACTGGTAGGATGGGGTTGCTAAAAACAGAGATGTGGAAGGTGGTGATGGAACAGATCTTTGCAGGAAAATCCCTTGCTTTTGGACATATTAATTTTGAGGTGTTGTTAGGCAACAGAATTGAATACCAAGTGGGCATTATGAGTTTGGAGGTCAGGGGAGGTATAGGATGAGGATACACACTTTGGGATAATCAGCATACATGCTGTTTGAAGCCAGAGGGATGGAGGAGGTTACCAATGGTGTGAGTGTGGATAAACAGAGGCCTGTATCCTCTAAATTTACAAGGTCAGGAAGAAGAAAAGCCAGCAAAGGAGACTGAAGAGAATCCATGAAGGTAGGAGGAAAGCCCAGAGTGTGCTGTGAGCTGGAATCTAAATGTGGAAAGGAAGGTGTTTAACTGTTTCATGTAGTGCTGATAGGTCAGAGAGGATGAAGTCTGAGACTTGACCATCAGATTTTACAACAAAAGAATTACTGGTGACTGATCGAGAGCACTTGCAGTGGCATGGTAGGAGTTGGAATAGTAATTTTGTTTTAAAAATGGAATCTCACCATGTTGCCTACATTGGTCTCACTTGTGAACCAAGTGGTCCTCCTACCTCAACCTCCCAAGTAGCTTAGACTCCTGATTTGTGGAATAGGTTTCAAAGGGAATGGAAGGAAAGAAATTTGAGACGGCAGATATCAATAATTCTTGCAAGGAATTTTCTCCAAACAAAAACAAAGAAATGGAGTGATGACAAGAACTCTCTCAGTGCAGTGTTCAGGTTAACAGCTCAATTCTAATGGATTTAAAAGAAAATGAAAGAAGGAGAACATATACATAATTCTTTTAAGGAATTTTGCTTCAAAGAAATGAGATGATAGCTGGTGGGGAAACTTGAGTCAAAGAAAATATTTTTTAAATGAAAGACAAAAAAATATGTGTATATGCTGATGTGAGTACTCTAGTAGGGAGCAGAAAGTAATGTTGTAGGAGATACAAAGCAGGATTATTGGAGGGATATTCTTGAATAGATAAGAGGAGACGAAATCTAGGGCCTAAGTGGAGGAGGAAGAGTCATCGTTAGATAGAAACATGACATGTTTACTTCTGGAACCAGCAGGAAGGCGAAGTGTGAGGGTGTGTATGCTAGTAGGTGGGTGGGAGTGATAGTGAGATCTGTGAAATTCTCTTCTGATTGCTTCAGTGTTCTCAGTAAAGGAGAAAGCAAGACTGTCAGTGAGCATGAGGATAGAGCAAGAAGCAGTAGAAGGCTGAGGAGAGAGAAGAAAGTATGAAATTCTAGAGATTACAAGGATGGCTGGACTGAGGTATGACCATCAGACCACATTAAGGTCATGAATTTGAAATTAGGCCCATCAGTTTGGTTGTGAATTTCCTTTTAGCCACATTCCACTTGTAGTGTGAGGAGAGCAGAAATGTGTTTAGTCAGAGCAAAGCAAGAAGGGCAAGAGCATAATTACAATCATTGATCTTAGAATTTAAGCAGAGGACATACAGGGATGAAGGTCATTTAAAAGGTAGTCTGGTCAATGGATTGGAAGACCCAGGTATTGAAGAATTGTTGAGATCAAATATCAGGGAGAGTAGGCTGTAAGGATGAAAGAGGTAGTGACCTAAAAGAAGACTGCAGGGGGTTAATCAGAATCCTACTCCTCCATCTATATTGAGCTCTAATGAGGAAAATTGAGGACAAGGTCATTACAGACAGAGGAGGAGGTCAATAAACCAAGAGGCCGGGGTGGGAAGGATCTCTTGTGTATATTGAAATCACTGAAAGAGAAGAGAGAAGTAAGAATGAGCCAGGAGCTGAAACCCGTGATAAATGAGGGGGGATGATAGGGGTGAAGCTACAAGGCGACTGTTGATCTAATTCACTGGTAGAGATTTGAACCGGGTCTGTATTCCAGAGTCAAGGCTGAGTGCCAAGAACCTTGGATAAAATCAGAATAGTGGGAAGGCAGACACTTGGAGAATTTCTTATTTCTTAACATTACAGATCGTGTGGTATAATATTTTCTTTTCATCAAAGTGCCTAGAAGAAGGCTACATACATATAAGGTTATTAAAAATAGGGAACCTTTTTGCTTTTAAAATTGGAAAGTGAGTAGTGATAATATTCTTTGAGTGTTAAATCATTTGGAAAGTGTTTCCATTCTGCACATGTCCTAGGGTATGGACTAGAAACTGTTGAAAGAGTAAGATACAGTTTCAACACTAGGGACTGAAACATCCTGATTCTGTTATTTTTTTAAGGGAAGAATAAAGAAAACTAATATAAAATCTCTGAAATGTGTGGCCCACTAGAGAAGAAAAATGAGCAAGGGTGGGGGAAGGAAGGCTTCTTGGGAAGAGTGTGGTTTAGCTACGCATCTGCACATCGTGAAATACTGAAATGTTTAAAATCTCTGGGAAACAGAAAAAGTGTGACTTTTTTAAAAGGTAAACTCTCTGTAAGATGAATGAAGAGAGTCTGTGAATTGTATAGTCTTGTTGTCTTTCGACTCCTCAAATATTGTTACTCAGTTCTTGTTTTGAAAGGGATCTTTCACACTTGACTTAACTTCTTTAAACAAACTTGTTTGTACAGAATTATTGTTCTTTGGGCTAGGCCACCCAGTTTAGAAAGCTGAGGACCTCAAAACAATATGGCCCTTTCTTAAGACTCAAAAGAATGTTGGTAGACAAGAGTGGCAGAAGTACACTTGGTTAATTTCCTCTGTTTCCCATAGAATGTCCATTAAACTGTGTAAAGGGAATGGTCAAAAAGAGGTTTGAAGTGATTAACCAAGTAGCTTTGTCCATTGCCTCTTAGAAAGATCATATAAATAAAGATAAGAGGGAAGAAAATATTTGAGTTGCTAGGATGTGGGTAATGATTTACCCTAGGAAAGTTAGTAATTATGATTTAATAATTTTCTACTTATTAGTACTCAGACAATAAATATAAG